TCCTGAGCAAACCAGCTGGTTTATGGGACTGCAAAGGCAGTTAAAAATTTATTGGTATTTCCAGTGAAAGAGTAGGTTTAAAACATAGGTTAATGATGGGATTTTTTTTGGATTTGGTCTAATTATACACTTCCCTACCTGGAGGTTTTAAAAACCATGGATGCGGTGAAATTTAGCCCGAGTTTTCGCCAGGCTGCAGGATCCAAACAGGTTGCCTCTCTGCTTATCTCCGTTGCAGAGAAACGGTTGCAAGGGGCTTTTGATTCTGCTGACTTGAGGTGTTTTAGTATCTCCCAGACCTTGGCCGTAGTGATGCAGAGCTGTGCGTGGGAGCAAGGCATGGGCAGCGCCACCCAGGCCGTGTTAGTGCTCGGGGGATGCTGGCTGTGGGGGGGCTCTGGGGAGGTGGGTGCAAGGATGAGCCCCGGGGCGGCTCTGGGAGCAATGAAGAAAAGCACTGACTTCCAGAGATGGACAGGCATCGCTGGAGTGTCACTTATGACAAATATCCCCAGAAGAGGACTAAGCCAGTGCTTCTAAAATGGGATTTTTTAAAAAAAATTAATGATTTCTTAGATCTAATTAGTGCAAACATGTTTTCTCATATGTGGCACTGAGCCTGACTCTTTCCACTCTCTACTAATGTCTAGCAAAAGTGATAATGACCTTCAAGTAATTACTAAATGCCAATCTGATATCTGTTTTGTTTGTTTTTCAGGTTGATTTTTATTTTAATACAAGCCAGTGAAGATGACACCAAAACATGAAAAACAAGTAAGTCACATCTGATCTTTAATAAAAAAAGAAATTCAATCTACAACCACCAAAGTAAAATTCATTAAGGTTTGCATGGACCAGGAAAGATTGGTTCTGTCCTTCATGCTTTTAATTGCCAGGCTACAGAATATTCTGGAGTGATGAAGTGTCAATTCCTTCTGTTAAAGTTTGATGGAAGAATCAAATATTCATTGGATCAGAGAGAGGGAGGGTAACTCGCTGTGTGCATAAGGGGCTCAGACACTGAGACAGGAGACGAGGGCTTGGATTTCAGTCTTCTCTCCATCAGTCTTCAGGCATTTTGTAGGACATAATGGTTGGAGCTGGGTCTGAACTCTGATTACTAGATGCATGGAGCACAAGAGTCACACTTGCATATTCTATTTTGCTGAGTCCCAATGAACATTAAAAGTTTCAACAAATTATTTTGTCTCAGCTGATAGTCTCCTATCAGCCTTAACTACTTGGCGTGCGTGGAGTGAAGATGCCAACACACCCAGCGTGAAAAGACCCATGTCCTTTGTGGTTGATCCTTTTACTAATAGGCAACCTGATGGGAAACACTATTTTGCTCGGAAGCTTTGTGGAAAATTACTCTTCTGGGGGTTATTGACTAATCAGATGTGTAACAGTGGCACTGTGGAGCATGAGGTTATCACCTGATATGGTCCTGGGCGCAGAGATTTGAATTAAAATGCAGCTGGAATGATTAATGCAAATAATCATCCAATGTGAGATTATTTTTATTCGTCCTCCTTGTGGCATATTTTTTTTCCCCCGTATTAAAAATAGATGTTTCCATGTCAGATTTCCTATTTTCTTAATAGGAAAATGTTAAAAACAGAGTTCTCGGACACAGTTTTTGTGGTCAAATCCTATATAGTAGAGCTTCTGGCTTATCCTTGTCTCTGAGCCAAAATATTTCCAACAGGAGAAGGGGGGGGGGCAGATAAAGACTTCTTGTGTTTGCTTCAGCTGCTTTTATGGTATATTCTTTCTTTTGAGATAAATCCAAATGAGAACATTTCAGTTTTCAGTGCTTGTGTCTACGTGACCTCAGTGCTGCCCATTCCTCTGCTGTCAACACTCATGGTCGTTGCGTAGGACTGTCACTGCAAGGGAGTAGGTGTAAACCAGGCTTGGGGGTCACTGGCCATTTTTCATTTATATGTGACCCAAACTACTTGGACTGCTGCAGGCCTTGAGGACAGGGTAGCAAAATGCCACCAGTGCCATCCATGCCTGAACTAGCTGGCACAGAAATCACAGCCGTTTTAGCCAGGGATTAAAAGGCATGTCCAGCCAGAGAAGCTGCTCTGCTGATTCCTGCTTGTTAAGTAGTTATGACTGCTGTTTGTAGTAGTTACGACTGCTTTTGGGGCAGGTTTGAAGTTCTTCATGAGGATGTGAGGGAGGTGATTCTGCCCCTCTTCTCCACTCTGGTCAGACCCCACCTGGAGTACTGTGTCCAGCTCTGGAGCCCACAACATAGGAAAGACATAGACCTGTTGGAGCAGGTCCAGGGGAGGGCCACAAAGATGATCAGAGGAATGGAGCACCTCTCCCATGAGAACAGGCTGAGAGAGTTGGGGTTGTTCAGCCTGGAGAAGAGAAGGCTCTGGGGAGGCCGTATTGCGGCCTTCTAGTACCTGAAGGGGGCCTACAGGAGAGCTGGGGAAGGGCCTTTTACAAGGGCGTGTAGTGATAGGACAAGGGGGAATGGCTTCAAACTGGAAGAAGGTAGATTTAGATTAGATATTAGGAAGAAATTTTTCACTTTGAGGGTGATGAGGCACTGGAACAGGTTGCCCAGAGAAATTGTGGATGCCCCATCCCTGGAGGTGTTCAAGGCCATGCTGGATGGGGCTTTGATGCAACCTGGTCTAGTGGGAGGTGTCCCTGCCCATGGCAGGGGGGTTGGAACTAGGTATCGTCAAGGTCGCTTCCAACCTAAACCATTCTGTGATTCTGTGCTTGGGCCAGCATGGCTACTGTGATCCATATCAAAGCTAGAGTGCTAGCAGTTTGGATAGGCAACGTTTTGCTTATGAATTTACCCGTTTCCAGGGGTAAGGAATAAACGATAATGCCACTTTCTCCAGCAGCTTTCTGTTGAGCCTGTATTGTTCCCAGTGCAATAGGCCTCCATGACAAAGCTTGGACACTTTGAGCTGTTAGCAGTCAGTTCTGATTTTGAGAGAATTGTTGCACTGAGGCATTACAGGAAACACATAGTTTTTGAATACGTGATAGACATGCATGTATCGTGCCCCTCAATTAAAAAAATAAAACAAACCACACATGAAAAGAGAAAGTATATATCATGTGGTCTGATACCTAGATTTGCAATTCTGGGAAAAACAAGCAGAACTGGGTGGGAGGGGGAAGAAGACACCTTGAAAAGGATTGCAGCTGATGAAACTAAAAAGTCCCTGAAACCTTGAGTGTCTTCGGGCTCTGCTTGCTGGGTTGTACGCCTGGGCTGCAGTGCAGTCTTGTGACAAAATGTTGTTACTCTTCATGTAGGCTGTGGGAGGAAGAGGTCAGCCTCACCTCCTGTAGGTGCGCAGTGCATTACTTGAATATAAGACATGTCTGTTGAAGGTATCCTAATTTTCATAGCAAGATGGGGAGGGAGGGGAGTATATACAGAGGAGAAAGGTGATTATTACCCAAAACTGCTGTGCACTGGTGACTGTTTGTGACCAGTGAACGGAGAATGGACCGAGCATGCAACAGTGATCTCCCAGAGGAGTATTCTGCCACTTAACTCTGCTTAGACCTTAGCATAACCTGTATGTGAATATTTAAAAGCCTACTTTTATAGCAATGGGGAGGCATAAGCACCTTTTCTGGCAGCATATCTGCACCTATATTGGGCAGTTAGAGCTGCTTTGATTAAATCAATATTGTTGTCCCAATGGGGTCTTGTATCCTGGAGAAGGCTTAAAGGTCGAAAGAGAAGGGGTGGTCTATGTGTGCAACGCCACTGTTTCAGAGCAGCAAAAACTGCAACGGGAATTGCAATTAACGCTTACTGTATTCAAGATGTTTATAGGGGAAGTAACCAGAGATCTTGAGAAAGGCTGTAGATTTTTGGTTTGTTTTTTTAGTTGCTTAATGTTTGTCTTGCTTCATTCTGAACTCAGCCCCTCTGTTCTTTGGTAAATAAGGGGAGGAAAAAAAAGCCCCAACACCCAGTCTTCTGTTAAAATCCTGCTGTTTCAGGTCAGAGCTGACACTGGATGTGTGTGAGGGCTGCAGTTTGCTGAGGTGCTCTGCTGTGCTGCAGATCACTGTCACTCTTGTCTCAGTGATACACTGCCTGAAGACCTGCCTGCCACGGCGTGTACAGCAGGTCCCCCTTCTTCTATAGGCAGAGTCTGAAGGGTGCTTGACTTCCTCAGTATTGAAAATCTGTGACTATTTAATTGGAAATTAAAAGTATACAGGGTTTTTTTTGTGTGTAAATCACGTGGTCTGGGATGATTTGCAGGGTAAATTAGCATGGTCTGGGATGATTTGCAAGGTAAATTAAATGATTAGCGTAGCTAATGCAACTCTTAATCATAATACTTTGGCATAATGGAGTTTGAAAGAACCATTTTACTTCAAAGATTATTTTGATTCTGTACAAAGGAGAGGGTTACAGAAGGTTGTTTGGAAATGAAGTAATTTGGGGAACTTGGACAAAAGGAAGGGCAGCAAGAAGCCGGTGTGGCGGTGGATGAGAGGAAGGGGACTGAGGTTAGGTTATGAGCAGGCTCCTTGCGGTTGTGACTCCTGGGCTGCAGCAGTTGGAGGGGAGAGGAGAGCGGTCCCTCCTTTGAAGGTTCCTGGCATTATTCCCCTTCTTCCACTTGCAGGACTGATGCATTTAGCGGTCAGGAAAGAAAAGGAAGTATGCTTAGAAGTGGTTCCAGCTCTGGAGAAGAGTGAGAGAGGGAGAAGTAGGAGGCTGGGGAAGACAAAAACTTGGGAGAAGATAAGGCTATGGATATGAGAAGATGTTACAGTGGGTCCAAAAGTATGCTAAGTCTGTATATGTATGCTAAATAGGAGAGACAGTGGTGCAGGCCAAAAAAAACAACCAAAAAATGGTTTCCTCTCCTTTGTTCAAGAGAGGGAATAACTTCTTCATGTCTCCCACTGGCACTTTTGTAGAAGCAAAGGCATGGCCCTCAGCTGGTAGAAGTGATTACTGCTCTGTTTATTTGTTCCTCTTGTGCCACGTTGGCATGAGGTTAAAGAGCTGTGGAGGAGAAACGGGCCGCCGGTGCTCTTTGGTGAGGCAAGAAGTGGCAGAGGTGGCAGGATCCTCTCAAACAGGCGTTCTTTGGCAAGGTGCTCGTGAAGCGCACCAAAAGGGTTTCCATCAAAGATGCAGAAAACACCCCTGTGACTGGGAGCAGGGCTAAGGCAGATGAAACCATGGGCTGTATCCTACAGGCTCCCCATCCCTGAAGCAGTACCACCTGGAAATCAGCATGGTAAATGATTTATTCCAGACCATGAATGCCTCCCTGCCATGTGCAGAGTGTAATGACTGTTCAGGGGGAAAAAAAAAAAAAATTAAATGTTAGCATGGTAAATGATTTATTCCAGACCATGAATGCCTCCCTGCCATGTGCAGAGTGTAATGACTGTTTCAGGGGGAAAAAAAAAAAAATTAAATGTTTTCTGTCCAAGGTTGTCATTGTTCTCCTGTTGGTCCATTGAAGGTTGCTGGTGACATGCTGAAGTGTGTGGGGTCGGGGGAGAAGACTTGGCTGAAGAGTAAAGGTTTCTTTTCTGACATCTGCAGTTTGGGCACAGAGAGGCACATTTGGAGAGCTTTCTAGTTGAAGATTTCTTGGTTTATGCAAAGTCATACTAAAAAAGCATGTTATTTAGCAGAGATGCTGTCACTCCTCCCACAGTCAATTCCTGTATCTGGAGATCTTGTGCAGTGCCTTCCTCTCGGGGGGAATATATCTACAGCTTAAAATGATACGGTATTCTTTAACTGAGTCATTATTTAAGTGGTTGGCTTAGCTCTTTGGGTGAATAGCTTATTTAAGCGACTGAAGTAGGGCAGCCTATTCGTTGCCTTTGGAAAGTGCAGGTAGTTACGCACACTTTCAACCTTTGTCTTTTCAAGAGACCTTTTCCATCTCAGTATGAACATACAGATTTACCAGGCTGTTTGGTTTGTTTTTTTTAAACATGATACAAGTTTTCACATGGTCATTAGCTAAGGCTATTTGGAAGCATGTGGTTCTTCAGCCTCTTCCAATTTGACTTGGTGATGCCCAGTTACATGGCAGTAATGCCCACAGGCCTCTTGTGCTCCTTCAGGATCCCTCTAAATTATTACATAAATGTAGGAATTAAAAGGGAATAGACTATATATGGCAACTTCTACCACAAATACTCTATATCGTTGTCCCTCCAAAATGGGGAGTTACACTCTGCAACATGGCTGTGTTGCTTCCTTGGGCAGGGTGATGGGCAGACTGGGATAGCAGTGCCCAGGTCCTGCATCCTTGGATGTACTCCATGGGTTAAGTCCGTAGTGTATCAGGAAGCATATGAGGCAGAGGAGGATTCATCTCCTTCCACACAGCATCTGGGACACTAGGCTTGAGACCTTGAATTCCCTGTGGTGAATCTGTGTCCAGGGCGATTAATAGTGGTATATCCTTTTCTACCGGGCAGGAGTAAGTCATTTGGGGCATAGAAAAAAAGACAGTTCTTCAGCTCCTTGTGGAGGTATTGAGCACTGACACCAGATCCCTGAAATCAATGGGTATAAATACTTGACTAAAAAAAACATGGGTACAATGACAAAAGAAATTTAGGAGCAAATAAAATGCTGTATGTATGTATTGAGTACACGTAGCAGGTTTGTAACACATTCTCTGTGAATGTTGACTGAGAGGGTGGAAAAAGCCTAAAATACCTGCCTAGTTCTCTTTTACATATGTGACTTTGACTATTAGGTTTTTAGTTTGTAGCTACTGAAATCACCAAATCTCCCATGCATGAAACATGTATGACTTCTCGCAGTATTACTTAATCTGAAATATTCCTTTTCAGCTAGCAGTTTGGCAAGGAATTTCCCAGACATGTGGTGTAGCTCAGATGATTCATTGCTTTTTGCTTCTCCTTTTATAGGGTTGCAAAATTCAATAAAACAGCAGTTCAGCTTTTAATCTGAGCCACAGTAGTTCGTGGAACAGCAGAGCAATCAAGAGAGTCTTTCAGGCTCTCTTTGTCTTCTGAAATTAATTGCTTGATTTTTATTATGCACTTGCAGGAATTTGTAACTGTCTTGGTGCGAGACCCCAGGACACAAAAAGAAGACTCGTGGCATTCTTACATAGACTATGAGATATTTATTCATGTAAGTATAAAAAATAATCAGCACAGATTCTTTGGGCTCTTATTGCTGTTTCTGTCTAAGCCAGAGTTCAGTTTGGGATATTAATAGAATTTCTTTACACCAATTCTGGTAGGATGGAGGATATTATTCTCCTTTTAACGACTGAGACACAGTGGAACTGGTAAGGTGGGTTGGCCAAAGGCGGTGCAGAAGGTCTGTGGCAGGGCTGGGAGTGTATTGTGTGCAGCTGTGCACTCCACAATATTTTGCAGCAGAGACTATTTCTAGCATTACTTATCAACTAGAAGATTGTCATAGTCAGTTATGTCTTACCATTATGGAAGAAGTTCGGTGTTCAGGTATTCATGGGAAAACAACTTTCTTTTCAAGTAATTAACTAGTTATTTGTACTTTAAATTCCTTGACATTCATATTATGCTAAGTGGTGCTTGGATATGTTAAGTAACTACACTTGGATTTATGATCGTAGTCTACCAGATGTTAATGGGAGTGCACTTAGAATTACTGTTCTCTTGTGTCTTAAATCTGTCCTATACATAATTTTTTGTTGATTATTCTTCTTTGGTGGATGATACAGAAGGAGTTATCCTAATTTCCCAAATCTAGATCCAGGGATTTAATTGCAATGTAAAAAAAAAAAAAAATAAAACAAATTGTGAAGTGTATCAAGTATCAGGTGAAGAATTTGAGAGCACCAAGTTACGTGATTAATGCTTGGCACGAGACCGAATGCATTTCCTTCCTGTGGGAGAGTTAAGCATTGAGCATAATGAGAGCAAGCAGTCAAATGATGGCTTATTAAATGTCCATCGCGACAAGTGCTTCTGCCCTTTGTGGGAATCAGAACTGTGAAACTTTCACGTTTTGCAATGTGGTTTAAGTACTGGTTCCAAAGCGATTATATTTTTGACTTCTGTTAAATAGAAATTCTGTAGGTTTGGCGGGGCGGGTGCTGTATAACTGTTTCACAGGCATTGGTGTTCTGAATAGAAGAATATTGCTGGCTTTCTCAGCAGCTGCTAGGTTGAGGTGGTGTCTCAGTGTTATATGATTCAGCACTGGGCACCTCTAAAGCTGATAAGCATCAGCTCAGCTTACTGCCAGCACAATGCCAGGGCTTTCTGAGACCAAGTCTCTAGGTCGGTCCTACCATTCAGGCTTCTTAATGAATTCAAAATCTTGGGTCTGCTAGGCTCTTAAACCAGTAGGAATCCCCTTCTGCCCAGTGCCTAGAACATCTGGCCTCTTAAACTGTAAGGTATCCCAGATACTCATCTATTCCAGAAAGCTGGCATCTTTGGGCCCTCTACAATCTGCTCTCTAAGAGTTGTGGCTCCTGGCAGGCAATCGAGGGTGGGTTGGACTGCAGGCAGATTTATAATGGAATCCTCTCTGGTAGGTGTGGCTTCATCTAAATGTATACCCCACAGGAAAATTTGGCAAAAGCATTTAATTTCTGTTAATTGTTTCTCTTTTGATGAATTGGCATTTTTCTAGTGGAGGAATAGTGAATATTTCCAAATGCTGCTACTTGTGGAGAACAGTCACATTGGCTTCTTTAATTTGATTTAAGTAGGACTGCACACTGGAAGAACTATGTGGCTAACTGTTTGTAGGATTATAACCAGAATAGCTAAACAGGATTGCCCCCCCCCCCCCCCACCGCCCACATCCCCGAAGATTGGCATTATTTGCTCAAACTCTTTTCTGAAATATTTTTTCCTGTTACTGCAAGTTGTACTGTAATCCAGATCTCTTGCTTTTAAAGAGGAAAAAAAAGCGATGAAAAATATTTCCCTGAGAAGCAGCAGAAACTGTCAGTGGTCCTGTCTGAGATAAAGCGCAGTCCTTAACCTAAACTGAATTCATGTCAAGCTTTCCAGTGGTGTCTCGGGGATTAGCATCTCAGATGTGTTTTTAATACCATGCCTGCACTTTAGCTTAAGCTGATTTACAAAGTAAAATGTTTATTATTTCCCAACAGACAAACAGTATGTGCTTTACAAGGAAAACATCCTGTGTTAGACGACGCTTTCGAGAATTCGTTTGGCTTCGACAGAGGCTTCAGAGCAATGCGGTGCTTATGTGAGCAACTTTATATATGGCTATTTAATAATCTGTCAGTCATGGAAGGGGAGGATTGTTTCATCTTAATACTGAGAATTACAGAAATTAGTGCTGGAAAGTGTCCTGTGTTTCTTACTAGCATAAGTTTATTCTGTACAGGGCGTTTTCTCTGCTTTAAAGCCAGAAGAATGTGGTTTTGCCTTTGTTTGGTGAACTCCCCTCTAATTTGTAACAGATTTAGTCTGTTTCCTGCACAGGTAGCAGAAACAGCAATCTAGTGCAAGTGTATGTACCTCCTCTCTGCACATTTAGGATGTGCTTAGGTTCTGCGAGGACCGTCAGAGACTCAGCCAGACATACATACATACAGGCGTAACAACTGGACCAGAAAAATTAGGTTCATTTATTTTGCCCTCTGAGGTGTGTGAGAAGCCCTCTGGTTTCTCAATCTCGTGTTCCCAAATTCCATTTCATGAGCTTCTGGAACAAGACCTATGAATTTCTGGGTTGGCATTTGCTTACTGCATTTTTCTCAGCTGTTCCACATTTGGTTTTAACTGTTTTAATTTGCTTCTTGTTTATATAGACAGTTACCTGAACTGCCATCTAAAACTCCCTTTTTCAATATGAACAATCCCCATCATGTGGACCATCGCCGGCAGGGTCTGCAAGAATTCCTGGAAAAGTAAGTACAGCCTATCCTAGAGATGTTGACATTTTTATGATGTCATCAATTTTCTGGTTTAAAATAGCTCATCTCTGGTACTTGAGAGCCACCGTGTGGTCATCTGTACACGTTACACATCTGCATTATTCTTTTAATTTGCAAAGTCATATTTCATACACGTGACTTCAACTCTATTGGTCGTAAGGAAACATCAACTGGGGCTTTTCCCTTGTGTTTCATTGCATTGGTTGTAAATAATAGTTTTGGATTTATGTCACTCTGCAATTTTGTACTAAGGTTGGGGGATCTTCCACTGTGGTGTCTATTTCTAGCTTTCAAGAATGAGCTAGATATTCTCACTCAAAGAAACAGACTTGTCGCCCTCTTTATTTCCGTGGAAAATCAGTGTCTTTGTGGGCTAAATCACTGGGAGCCTGGAAAAATTCTGTGCTGAGGTCTCCTAACACAGATATTTCCTATAATGCCAATTATTTTGTTTACCAGTCCCACTAACACAAAAGGGCTCTAGCAGCTGCGACAGCTTCCAGTACAGCTGCAATCTGTATAAAATAATTCCTCTGTGGGGTTATGCAAAGGGTTAGTGTAAAGGAACGGTGTAGCCTTAGCCGGAGTCAGACTTGCCTTACGAGGGAGCGCTGCACGAGTTTCAGTACTGCATCCCTCAGTCCCACTGCTGTAACCGCATCACCATCTGCAGTGGCAGAGACCCTGTTGGTGTAATTTTCTGCTTTCTCTGCCGTTCTCGCGGTACCCTGACACTGCTGGTGTGAGAACTGGCTGCTTGCAGCTGGTAGGGCTGGAGTTGTGAGTGTGTTTTGCAGGCTGTTTTTAGCCAATGCTCAGGGTTAGGGCATGGGGAAACACTGAGCAGAAACTGTTCATCTTCCTCCAGTATCAGTGTTTCCATGAACCAGAACTGTATAAGCAAAGGAAAAAAGCAAATCATTTAAGTAGGCTTTAACCCTCGTGGTCAGTGGGTAGGGGAATGTTGGACCTGCTATTTTTCCAGTCAGTGTGATATTAACTATAAGCCTTCCTAACAGGCAAGAAATCATTGGTCCTGAGGTATATTTCAGCTTACAACTGCAGGAGCTGCAGGAATAAAATTTCTGTATGCAGTTATATAGGATCTGTGGCCAAAAGGATAGCAGAGAAATACTGGATGAAGGCACGTGCGACAGGGAAGGGAAAGCAGAAAAGGATCGGAGGGTTTTTTCTGCACCTCAGGGAAGAAAGACAAGGAAACAGTGTGACTGGGCTTCTAGAGGTGATAACGTTAATGGTTAGCCAAAGGGTATGGTAGTTCAGTTCCCTGAGTCTGAGCAGCTCTAGCTTAGCTGTGCTGCCCCATGGAGCAGTGTGTTTCCAAAACCGCTCATTTTAAAATGGCAAAGAGACCAATCTGGTAACGAGGTACAGTATTTCAGCATCAAAAATATTTACAATACTGTCTGCGCTTCGGAAGGCGAAACGCAGAGGTGGGTTTCTTAAAACACATCCTCACTCCCCAATTTTGTGGATGTCTGTAACTTAGATGGGTACTGACAGCAGAAAAGTGACAGCATGTAGAACATTTTACTTTGCTGTTAGTCCAGGAGTAGTGGGGGAAAAGAGGCATCTCTGTTGTAATGTAATGATTTAAATGTTTGAACTTGGATGCCGTTTAGAAAGGTGTCAGCTTTCTCGCAGCCCTGGGGAACAGTTGGGAAGGCATTTCCAGAGATAGAGTTGTGTTGTGATGAATTGGCTTGGCACCTCATGTGCTCTACCATTGCCCTCTGCTGGCTGGCACTGCTCTGCTGCTGCTGTACCTAACACAAGGGATCTTTTTACTGGCTCTGCTGGGCTGCCATGGTGCTTTTTTCTCCCCCCTCCCCCTTTTTTTTTTTGATGAGTCAAACCCAAAGATTATGATTTCTTTCTCTGAATTTGTGGGATTCATTGACAAGTGTGTATGTGTGTGTATATATACACACACACAAACACACTTGACTTTACTCAAACTCTAGGTCTGGATGCTACATGTTCTGGAGGGAATGCTGGCAGAAGTGGGACCTCCCTGCTGTATTAGGAAGGGGGTAGGAAAGGAACTAGAAAGTCGTTGCGTGGGATGGCATAACCCAAAACTGCAAAGCCGAGCGCTCTCTTTGCTCCAGTCACTGTGGCAGTGGCAGTCACCATGCACAAGCTCACAGCCCCGCTGCTGTTTCTTTGTGCCGGTGGGGAGAAATGGGATTCAAGCCTATGCAGACCTGTGGAGGGAGAAGTTTTTCAAATGCCCGTGTGCGATGCAGGCGTTGGCAACACCAGCCCCTCTCTACACTCAGTGCCTTGTGGGGCTATCAGGACCCAAGCCATCGCTGAAATGAAGTTTAGATCTTTCCCAGTCTCAGTTTGTGCCCGTTGCTGTAGTGTCATCCTGGGCAGGAGCCACATGCCTGAGGAGTAAGGATGGAGCGGTTGGAGGTTCTCTGGCGTTTAGATCTGGCCGTGGGAGCTCCTCCATATTGCCCGTACGTGGGTGGCTGTGGAGTTCTCTTGTCCTCCTTCACGTGTCGCTCCAGGACAAGTTAGCACGGGGCAAGGTGCGTACTTAGAACCTTTGTGGAGCCTCTCCGTGCTGAGCATGGTAGCGTGAGAATTAGGCCAACAGTTGGACACTAAAGCAAAGCACTAGAGCTTGGTCAAATCTGGAAACAGGTGTCCCATTTTGATTTGGCTTTACTGCACAAATGCAGGGTAAGACCTGCTTGTCTTATAGGTTATTATCTCTGAGTGATGAAGGGCTGTAAAGCTCACTTCTTGTCTGGGCATAATTTAATATTTCAAGAGGCCATTTGCATTAACGGAAGTCAGCTAGCCCCTTTTCAATTATGAATTCCTTTGTAAGAATAAGGAAAATTTTATGTGTTTTTCCTGGTGAGTATCCTCATACCTTTGAGGACGTCTGTAAATTCATAGGAAAAGCTTATTCATAAATTAGAGTTCAAAATTAAAACACTACTTTAATATTAGATTCTGCAAGATCCTCTTTGCTTTCATCCCTTTGTAGCTGCACGTGTTTAACTTTGGGATTTAGATTACTTTCACAAAAGATCATTTGGGTTTGCTTATTAGAAAACTAAGTAACAAAAACATTTTAAATGAAGTTGGGTCCAATCGCTGATGGTTTTTTTATTGAATACAGTTGGATCCTGGAAAAAAATTAGGTGGCTTGGGGAAAAAAGATTAATCTCAATTAGTTTTCAAACGCGCAGTTTGTGATGGGGTGGAAGACATACCAGGAGTTTTGAGAAATGCAGTGCTCGGATCCACAGATGAAGAGCATCCGCAGTGTCGCTGCTCTGGGTGGCCGTGCGTCAGGCTCGCTTGGTGCTGGGGCGAGCAAGCCACCCGAACCGCAGCTGCCTAAGGCAGAGCCGTTCTCTGGAGGTGGCTGGGGTTTCACCCTCCTCCTCACCTTCCCCACTGCAGTCCCACAAGCAGGAGGTGGTGCAGGGTTGGAGGACTCTTTCGTGGAGGTGTCTCCCCCAGGTGCTCTCTCAGGGATGCGGAGAGCGGGAGGCAGGCTCCAAAGGGGATGGGTGCCAGTTTGCCGGGGCTCAGGTGGGAGGATGGGTGGCCGTGGGGCCTGTGGGATCTCCTTGGGCGAGTGGTGGCTGCCACTTTGCAATGCAACCTTGGTAATAGTCCCTATTTGGTGAGTGAAGCAAATAATGCCTAGCAGGTACGTGTCGCTTAATCCTTTCTTAAACATGCATTATCGGATGCCCAACAGTTGTTTTGCAGTTGCTCGCTCTCAGTAACATTTCCTCCCTTATTAAAAATGAAGGAGGAAACGCAGTTTGCCTTTTTTTTTTTTTTTTAAGAGGAAACTGGGGCTTTGTTTGGTGTGGGCTGGGGCTGAGGGGCTGGATGCTCAATAGAGGGCACCATAGCACAGGCTGTCAGCCCCCGCCTCTCAGCTCCTGGGTTTTTGGTTTGTTTTGGGTGTTTTGTTTTTGTTTTTTTTTTTTTCCTTCCCCTTGCTCTTATGATATGATGTAAATGGGCAGAGTAAATTTGTCTAAAACGAAATCGGAGTGTTAACCTTCCACACACATGGAAGTGTGCATCTGTCATTGTATTAGGTTACAGTAGATACAGGAAATCTTTAGTTAGGATTAAGTTGTACTGTTCAGCCATATGTTGCTCTCCTCCAGCAGAACAGTGTATAATATACCTAATAAAATCATGTTGAAGAAAACCAGATTTTGGACCTTGTCCAAATAAGACAAAACACATGTTTTGTCTTTTGTAAATGTTCTTGCTGTAACACGGGGAAGGAGAAATACTCCGCGTACAGTATCCAGCATTTCCTTAAAAATGGTATTATTTCTTTTGGTTGTGAAGTGACATTTTTCAGCCCTGCTTCTTTAAAGGTCTAGAGATCATGAGCGTTTACTGAAAGCTTACACAAAGATTCACATGGCTGCGAATAAAAAAAAAAAAATAAAATAATGATTTTATTATCTCTAATTCAAATGTAGAGCCTTATCCTGCAGCCCCCTTAATCACATAAGTAGTCATTATGCATGTGAGCAGTCTGGCCGAGAGGAGTGAGATCTCTGACAAGTAATGGCTACTGATGGGATCAAGACTTGCAGGATTTAGCCTTTCGTTCTTATTCCAGGCGTGCGTAGAAAATCTGTTGTTCTCTTCAATATGCCCAGTCAGTTTATAGGAATTATCACCGTGAGCCATGACTCTTCCATTAGCGCGACGGCAGCGAGAGCTGATTTACATCGCTGTAACCACAGCTTTGCACTGACACGGGCTGTAATAAAACTGTTGGAGAAGCACCGGGAGTGCTGCTGGTTGTGTGGAAACTGCGCACGCGTTCAGCCGCTGCTAAGACATCCGAGTACCAAGATGATGACAGTCCGTCTGCCTTTCCTCTTGCCTTTTTAATTTGTTAGGTGGTGTTTTGTAATTTTGCTGTTTAAAGTCCTTGGAGCCAAGTCTGGTTTTTTTGGATATTCAGCCCTTCACACAGTGAGTGCCCAGGACAGCGAGAGCCCTGGAGAGCAACCGCTATACCAGCGCTTAATGCTGCCAGTAACATCTATTGACAAATGTACAGTTATTTCCTCAAGGAAGGAGTGTTTTGAACAGGAAAGCATAACACTTACAGATAGCACAGAATTTATTTTTCATTTTGATAGCTTGAAGGATACAATTAAAAAGCAATCTAACCTGTTGGTTCAGAGGGGGGCGGGAAAAGCAAAAGTTATTTTTTAATTAAAAGAAAGAAGAAATGCTCCAAGGGTATGACTGGTGCAAGGTGTTCATACGCTTGCTTTCAGCATGGTTTTAAATGGTTTGCAAAATGCATTGAGTGTTTGATCCTTTCCCTCCCTTATGAACATCTATATATATATATATATATACAGACACACAAACACGTGATTAGCTTTATGAACATCTTTCCATTTCTTCGCCTTGGCTTCTCTTCACTCCTTTCACCTCCAGATGGCACTGTGAAGCAGAAAAGAAAATTACTGTGAAATAATGAGTCCAATGTAAAGTAAAATTGGAAATTGAATTATAGCTGCAGAAAAAGGACAGTAGCCTTGAGGTCCTGATCAGTCTGTACTCTTATCACTTTTGTTTGCTGTTCCATGTGTTAGGTTACTGCCGAGTTAATAACAGTGCTCGAGCAGTTCAAGGCTTAGCAGAATTGTACTGGACATGAAATAAAGCTAAAATGAATTTGTGTCCAATATCATTGACATTAGTGCTCATTACTTCTCTGGTGTAATGCCTCAAACCATCTAAAATCAATTTTAAAGATTACCCGTTATTTTATAAAGAAAATAAAATACATTTCAAACAGCAACAGAGCTGTAAGTGTAGTGTAATCTCATGAACAGTTAGTTACTTGTGTTTTCGCTGCTTGGCAGGAAACTTTTTTGAAGGTACGGCAAGAGGGAAAATCTGTGAAACTAAATGCCGTCCACAGAATTTAATGTCTTGGCTTTTTGCTGGGTTATTTGGTATTAGACACGCAAATGTTAGCATCGCAGAAATGTGCGTCCCCTCATTGTGCTCGTAAGCCTGGGAAAAACAGTAACTCTAGTTACTTTACAGTAAACTCCAGCATGTTGGGGTTTATTTTATTTTTTTTTTAGAGGAGGAAAAGAAGTAGAAAATTTACTCCCTCAATTGCATAAACTATAAATGTGGATTTATTGCGTGGAATGGTACTTCTTTTACTTTTTTTTTTTTTTTGCAATGTTTGTCTTTGGAATGTATGTTTATCAAGAGTCAAGGCTGAAATCCTCTTTTAGTGGCCGCTGAATGATGGCTTTTCAAACTGTGTTCATGCTGTTGCTCTCCAGGTGTGTAGACCTGTAAATTCTCTGGTTTGAATCATTTTTACATAACATTTTCTGGCCTCTTGTAGACCGTGAAGTTTTTCTGTACATTAATACGCTGTGTGCATTGATTTTTACAGATGTTTGTTTGCTATGATTATTTTTAAGTAAGACTGTGAGAATTTAGATCTGATTAAAAAGGCTTTATCTAGGTATGAAAGTTTGCCTATTTTGAACTTCAGTGAAATCTGGTCCCTTTTAGACCGGATTTAATATGCACCTGGTAGATCATTAGGGTCATTGCAGACACTTCCTCATTGGAAAGTGTCAAAGTTTGAATTATTTGGTTGAGGCTGTGTGTGTGTTTACCAAGGCAAATGAAATGTGCATGCACACAAATATCCTGCGTTTTCAGTTGGATATCTCTTATTACTTATTTTGATTTGAGAGATTTTTATAGGCTTAGATGAAGCCAGAAATCCTTTAGTGTATTTATTAAATGTTATTGTAATGTTGGCCACTTTAGAGAAGAGTTTTTTGGAATGTGTTTCTGTTTTAAAATGCTACAGTCCAAACACACCATTAATCTTATTTGAGAGAAGGAACTAATCGGTTATACTTTTCATTTTAGTCAGAGTACCTATAGAATGCAGTATTTCTTTCTGCTCTTACTAGTTCTTACATTAATGTCATCTCTTGTTTCCTGTTGCATAGCAATGACTTTTTTGGTGACGACTGTAACCTAAATGGGTAGAAATAGGTAAATATTGACTCTTGATAGTTTTGATTTGTTTAAAGATATTTTAATAATTTTCTGTGGAGCACTGTTTGGCATAGTCGTAGGCTCTGACTTTATTACATGAGTAAAATTACATGTACGTATAAAAAAGAGTATCTTGTTAATCATTGTAGGATTTGTGTATTAAAGAATTCCTTCTTTAGAGAAATGTTGCAGCAAAGTTGCCCTTTTTTTTTTTTTTTCAAAATAGTGATGATGATCTGCAGTTAAAGTATCTCTACAACTTTCTGTATTACTGGAATGTATTGCATTTCGTTTACTTTCACTTGATGTAAGTAAACAGTCTGTGCTAAATTTATTCGAAGACTTAATTTAAAATATATAGAAAGCAAAGATGAAAACAGACTCCTGAAAAGGACAGCTGGAATGAAATATTATTCAAGATTCCCCGAAAACTGTTTACAAGTAAACTTAAATCAGTGTTCAGTATTAGTATTTTAATTCTAGCTTAAATGTAATGATTTTGTAAATGATTTTGGCTAGTTTTGGCTCTGTTGTTTACAGGTATTTTGAAGTCCTCTGCCTCTGTACACACTTCTTTCCCCCACCAAAGAAATTGGTGACTTGTAATTTTTAGAAAAGCTTAGCTATTAAAAAAAAAAAAAAGCTCTCAAACGGAGACCAAATTTTTGTAAGAGTATATGCCTCCAACTGCCTAAAAATCATTAATTGATCCATGTGGTAATAACAGATGGTTAAATGGAAGAAATGTCCTTGAAGTTATTCTAATAGCAGATGTGCCTAACTATTAGCTTCGTGTTTTTACTCACCTAAAATTTCAAATAATGTAATAAGAAAGTAACACACACCTAATCATTTTAATATGTTCATTACCTTCTGTTACTGATTTAGGATTCATCTGAAAACTTAAAAGCAGGACATCATTTAGAATTTGTTCTGGTAAAACACTTTAGAATGTATGTGTGTATGTGCATCTGTATAAAAACTTTTGATTTTTTTTTTTTTCCCCTCTTTTTCCAGGATCCTACAGGACGCATTATTGCTTTCAGACAGTAGGCTTCACCTCTTCTTACAGACTCAGCTAAGCCCAGAAGATATGGAGGCGTGTGTGTCTGGACAGACCAAATACTCCGTTGCTGATGCGATTCATAAGTTCGCCTCTCTGAACAGACGTTTTCCTATAGAAGATGAAGAGAGAAAAAAAGGCAAAACCGATGCGGATTCTGATTCGGAGAGGTGATTTCTGTATTTCCTCACTTTCTGAGATTATATATACATACATACACATGCGCATGCTTCACTTTTTTTGTTGATGTAATACTAAGATAATGAAAAAATTAATTGACTGAGATTTTATTGAGCTGTGACAGCTCATCATAGAAGTCTTCACACACACCTCCACACTGAATTAATGAATGCAGTAGAAATTCAATTATCTGCATTCTGATTATGTGAATTTCATTTAGTCAGACTTGAATTATTCGCGTTTAAATTATCTTGCTAAAAAAATATCCAACTGCACTCCAAATGGCTAATTAAAAGTCCAAATTTCCTGTCTCTCTTTGTGACTGGAGATAATTAAAGTTCTCCTCTGTTACTCAGGCTTTGAGTGTGTTGTGAAAACCAATTTCCTTCTTTTATTTTTTTTTTTTTTTTCTTCCCTCTCCCCTTTTCTGCAGTTCATCCTCCGGGCTCGGACCTAGTGATGACAGCGTTTCATGCGGATGTAAAGCAAGCCCAGCTTCTGAAGAATCGTGAAAAATCATTCCTGTGTTGCTATCTTGAGGACAGTACAAAGCAGTTTCTGCTCTGTTTACTGGTTATGTGTACCACGCAAACACGGCTGGCTGGCAACGCGTACCGAAAAGACGCGTTGTCAATACAACTGTATGTCCTTAAAGATTTTCAAAACAGACCTTGATACTATTTCTTTGCTGATTTATTATGTACATTGATTCAGGTCTACACACTACCTATTACATTTAGGTTTTTGTGACTATTAAAATCTCAGTATTGGGTAAGTCATGCTGTGCTGACATACGTGGCAGTTAAAATACTTCCCTTAGTGAGTGCCTGTCTCGGATCTGCAAAATAAAGATAACTTAATTCCTCAGCTTAGAAGTTGGTATATCATATCAAATATATTCAAAGCATCTTTTTGTAATTTGCATCAGAGAAGTTTCATCTTTAGAAGTCATTTGACATTGGTGATGAAATTACATACCCCACAAGGTATTCACTTTTTAAAGTAGCTCAGCAACATCAGCAAAACAACATTTGTACAAACTATATGCTGCTGACAATTTGAGATATAAATATATCTTCCTCTGGTCTTTCTGTAATGTTGATGGGAAGCTTGGTTTTATCATGTATGAGAACTGAAGGCCAAAATTCTTGAGCGTGATTGCTTAAAAGTTAGAAATATTACTAAAACGGACATAATTTCTAGGCTTGCTGGAGAGTCTCGGTTCCCAGGGAATTATGGATGCTCATTCCCAGTGAAAATCCTGGATGAGCTCCATTGAAACCAACGGCTGAGTTTTGCATCGACCTCGCTAGGGCCAGGATTTCACCCAGCATGTTTAACTTCAGGCGCTTATATTTGAAGATGCCAGGGGAGATGTTTTAGTTTAGCAGTTTAAATGGATAGTATCTTCCTTTCCAAGATGGTGATCATCACATAGCTGTAGCACCCTGTGGGGACCTGGACCTCTCCGCTCTTTGGGAGTAACAGGAGCTGCTGGTTTCACTGTGGCTGTAGTTAACACGTTGGAATATTGACTTTTTCACAAACAAAAGGCAGGCTTGAACGCAACTTCGTAACCACCAACACTTATTTTGATTAAACGTCAGGTTTGCTCTTTATTGTTAACAGCAGCTGCGTAGTGTCTTGTCCCAGATTCTGTCAAAGGAATATGTTTCACTGTGGTGTTGTATTTATATTTGACATTTAACTGCTATTAAAAAGAGCTAGGGGGTCTGATCACCCCAGCAAAGCTCCCATTAACTTCAGTGCTGTAGTTACCGGCCTAGAAATGGATTGATTTTTTTTTTTCTTAAAGAATTATGTGGATGCTTTCAAAGAAGGAGCATTTTAAACTTGTAAATTACAGAAACAATAGATTATTAAATAGCCAGATAATAAAGGTTAGCACAGGCGTGTGTGGGCATGTGTTTTTAAAGCATCCAGCTGGGAATCTGTGTAATTTTAGAAACATGTTTTAATAGCCCGAGGATAACATCTCTTAGGTAACTACTTTAAGCCACTGTATTTTGTTGATGGTAGCACTTTTGTAAGATAAATATCTGTGTTTCTTTTTGCTCGGTCTTATTGAATTGCACAAATGTATCTATTCACCTTCTCGGCTTGTGTGTGAGTTAGCAGCAAAGCTATTTTAATGTAAAAGTGATAACATTTAATTAAAAGCAACAAGTTATCACTAAAAGTGGCTTTAAAAATAGCTGTTATTGCCAGGCAGAGATGTTTGATTACTTGACTTTTTTTTTTTTAAGATAGCATATTACAAGAAAAATTGTTTAGCAAATTTATTTAAAAGATAGGGAAAATATAAAAAGAAAAACTGGAATAATGTCTGAGAAAGATATTAATGTTTTTATTTAATGCAATATTAGGGTAGCGGGTGTTTTTGTTTTGAAAGACTGATCTAAACTGTTGAAGCACTTTACAATTCTGGCCCACTAACATGTCCTCAATATCTGACAAAAATTACAGAAATACAAGATTTGCAGGGCCTTTGTGGCTATCGTTTATTTTTTTTTTTAATTCCAGGAGCTTATCTGTATGCCAGTGAGTGTTTTCCAAATGAAGATGTTTCTGAAATAAATATTTCTTTTCTAATAGTTCCATTGTTGTTCTGTTATTTTCTTCATTGCCCTGTTTAAGACTACTCTAACACAACTTTTTTCCTAGCTTTGACAGAAATTTGTTTAAATATTTATCTTTTGAATGTGTTTTTGTGTAGCTAGTATTACTGGAATTTTTCATATCAAAGGGGAAGAAAAAGTATTCTGTGCTTTAGTACGTCTTCTTTTTGTATCGGCTGTATGTAACTGCATATAAATGCTTTAAGACATTTTGTTTAATTTGGGACATTTAAATGTAAATGTTACAAACTTAAATGTGGAAAAAAATTATTTTTAATGTCCTTTGACTTCAATGATTTGGTGATTTTTCAACACTATAATATATTTTGATTCAGTTGATCACTGGTATTTTGATTCTCATCTTTTTAGTTTTGAACAATGCTGATGTTTTCTGTTAGTTTTATAAACTACCTATTAGCCCGTTTAAAATATGTAATTACTACTGCTAATTTATATCTAATTCAATATTTCTGCACTCAAAATATTTGCTTTGTGTTTAGCTTAGAACTTTATAATCTCATTTTTATGATGATTTATTAAAAGCTTTTGAGTAATTAAATAAAACAAGTTACCTTTTGGTGTTTAAACCTGCCAGTAAGGTTTCCCTTATTTCAATATCCTAGCCACTTTATGATTTACAATGTGTAATTACTCTTCAATATTTTTGTAGAGTGTGTGTGTGTGTATATATATACACACTGTTGTGTTTGGGTTTGTCGTTGTTATAGGCTTTGTAGAAAATGTAAAGAAGTGAAAGTAACTCCAGTCATATGTGCTATCAAATTCTATAAAGTGTAACGTAAGAATATTGTAAACTAGTATTAAGCAACCTGTTACTTACAGTGTCGTTGAAATAGACTTTCAAGAATGATGAGAAAAATTCTTTTGGAATGAAAATTTTCATTTAAATAACACTGTAGCTTTATAAGCACTGAGAATACTCATGTTCTTAACTGCCCCACCATATAACACTGCAAAATTCTGTGTCTAAGTAGGTTGTGGGTTTTATTGACATGTGATATATGGATTTTTTTTTTTGTTCTGGAGTACTATTTTAAGTTATATAGGTACATGGTATTTGTGACTTGCTCTGTTGAAAAATACAAGGTACAGATAAAGCCAACATGTTCAGGGGTGATTAGAAAAAAACCCAAACCTTGTATGTTTCTGTGTAGTCCCTCTCTAATTGAAGGAGCGCTGCTCATGACCAGGGAGCATTTAAGGCTGGGATTTTTTTTTTTTTCTTTTTTTTCCCCCGCTAGCTTTTACAATGTTGCAAAAATGTAAATCGTTATTTATACTACCAGGTTCATTCTTGTCGTGAAAGGCTTTAAATGCTTTAGGAAAGACGCGGTTGTTCTCTTCCTCGACGGTAAAAAATACTGAAATCCCTTCTTCGCCTTCCGAAATAAAACCGAAATAACTCAAGTGACCTTGTAAAGCAGAAATCGAACTTTCTCCTTGGGGTTTAACAACACACACACACACGAAACGA